AGTCATGCGACAATACAAGATTAAAGTCTCCACAATAATAGGACGATGAAGGACTGGGTATGAATGGACTGCAGTTTCCGCCTCGACTTTTCGTCCTCACCAACACTCCATTTTTCCGGCTCAACGTCCCGACAAAATTCCCCTTCGTCTGCCTCCAACCCGCCCTCAAAAGCACCGGATCATGCGTCCGAGTCCCGTGAGTCATGTCAGCCACAGACGTCCGAGCAGGATATTCTGCCCGCCTCCCTCTCCTCCATTTTGCGCGGCAATCCGACAGTCACGGCATCAAGACTGGCTCCGAGGGATTCGGGGAGGTGTTGTCGTGCCCGAATTACGCGTTCGAGTGATGCTGGATGATCTTGAATGTCTGCCATCCACCTCAACCCTTCACTCGGACACCGCTTGTTATGCCAGCCACAACATCACCCCGCTCAGCTTCCGCTTTTTATGGGTCACTTGGTGCCCGCTACCGGAACAATGTTTGTATGTGTGTGTTTATGTACGTCCTTGTGGGCCTGCGCTTTTGGCGTGTCGGATGTGGGCAACGGACGTGTGTTGCGCAATCGAAGCGATGGGATGGCATTCATCCACAAGTGGGATTAGTTTCTTCCCCCCCCCGCCCCATCTTCTCGCGTCCAGGCGACTTCCGGTGGCGCTTGTCAGCGTCGAAGATGCGCCAACCGACGGAGCTCGCCCCGAGGCGGCCACCAGCAGAGTCCGGTGCAGTTGTGTGCTCAATCAAGTCGATGTTTGGGTTGGCCGCCCCAGGCCCGTCGAGTTGATGACCCCCGCGTGGCGACTTCTGTTGCGGTATGAGGTCATCCGGGGGCGAGATGCAAATGCCGGTCCAACCCAGTTGCCGCCTCCACCCAGCAACCGGGCCCGGACCGGTCGGCTGCTGGCTCGTCGTTCAGTCGACCCGTGGCCTGGCCTCTGCCGGCCTGCCTGATCAGGCGAGTATGCAAAATCACACAAAGCAAGTGAAGATTGGACGCTTGTTGGTCTCTCGCCTCCACAAACAAGTACGCCGCCAGACCGAGAGATGGGAAAGTGGTCCGTTTTGAGGCACCGTTCATGCGACACCGGAAGCAGACGACTGACTGAATTTAAAAGAACGTACCACACACACCCCGTAGACTCTCTAT